TAAGTTCTAACCATTGTTGTTAGTCAACTTAGTCAGCTTGAAACTTGAAAGAGGCACATTGTAATATTTGAAACCACATGAAACTGATTATAATAAAGGTATAGTTGGAGGGGACAAATCTAAGTATACCACAATGATAGAATTCTCTTGTATTATGAATTTATTCTACAAATTAAAGGAAAAAAACTTCCACAAACTTGTCATCAAGCAAAAGAAGATTACCTCAATGTCAATTCTCTAGTACTCAATGAGTCTCTAACCATCGCTGAAAGCAAATTAACCCGAGAGCCCCTATCGATTGTAATGTGGACGAGTAAGATAGGGTTAGTATCGTATTAAAAGTTATTATTAAATAATAATAAATTTAAGATCTCATGTAACAAAGTTACAATTCAATTTAAATTAAGTTATATAATACCCATGGCCACGACTTGCATTGCCATGAAGAAAAGTTAAAAGGAATCCTAAAATATTAAATTATAATCTCAAACATTTTACTATTTTCCTAAATTAATCAGATTAAATAGTATTGGGAAAATTATTTTTGACCCTAAATGATTTTAAAAAATTCTTAATTTACATCCTCAAATATAAAATTTTTCACATTACACCATAAATATTTTAAAATAGTTATAATGTGGCCCCAAACTAACTTTAGTTTATTTTTTTGTCAAATCTTGCTACATGCAACAAACGTGAATTTGACAGAAAAAATAATAAAAGTTAGTGCGAGAGTAACATTACAATTATTTATGACATTAAGGGTGTAATGTAAAAAAATTAATGTTTAAAGCCATACAGATAAATTAAGAATTTTAAAACATTTTAAGGTGTGAAGTGTGATTCGCTCATCCTACCATTGCCTTTTGGGCTAAATATAATAATTAACCCTTAAATTTTATGTTAATAAAATCATTCCGTCCGTTTCACTGGTCAGAACCGATGATGCGGATGTATAGATGACAAACAAATAGGCTCGTCTACGTTATTTCTAATGACCGAAATGAACAAAATGATTTGATTGATACAAAATTAATAATTTAGAGATTAAATTAAAATAATAAAAAATTTAGAGATTATTTTACAACTAGAGGCAAAGTTTAAACAATAATTATGTTACATACCTTATCTTTATGGATTAATTGCATTGGTTGTACTAAAATATTTATTTTATCTCATTTTGGTCTCTAACGATCCAATTAAATCACATTAATCACTAATGAATTCAATTTGATTTAGTTTGATCCCCCCCACCATTGACGTCGTCCGTTTTTTGACGGTTTCATCACCACGTGTCATCCACGTGAGGGGCATATCGGACAAAACACCCTATTGCTATTGTCGTTATTGTGGAATAACGTTCGATACCGTATTAACAAGCACCAACCTTTCTTTTTGTTTCTTCCGAAGTGAGATGACGCAACCCCTTCAGTAATATTGACCTTTTCTGTTTGATCCTTCTCTCACTCTCTCTCCAAACCATCCAAAATCCACCTCCAACAATGGGGGAAGAACAAACCCAACCCCTCCAAACCCACCTCTATTACTGGGGAAACACACCAGAGCAGGACTACTACACCCAACAAAACATCAAATCCACCAAGTCCTTCTACACCTCACCTAGAGGCCTAACCCTCTTCACCAGATCATGGCTACCCCTCACCCTCACCCCTCCACGAGCCCTCATCTTCATGGTCCATGGCTATGGCAACAATATTAGCTGGACCTTTCAGGCCACCCCAATCTTCCTTGCCCAACATGGGTTTGCTTGTTTTGCCCTTGACCTTGAAGGCCATGGCCAATCTCAAGGTCTCAAGGCCTATGTCCCCAAAGTTGACCTTGTTGTTGAAGATTGTCTTTCATTTTTCAATTTAGTTCTTACCCAAAACCCCCAATTCCAAAATCTACCCAAGTTCTTGTTTGGAGAGTCAATGGGTGGTGCAATTTGCCTTTTAATCCATTTTAAGAACCCTAGTTTGTTCAATGGTGCAATTTTGATCGCACCCATGTGTAGAATCTCTGATAAAGTTAGACCCGGATGGCCAATTCCCGAAGTTCTTACCTTTCTTGCGAAATTTGCTCCAACTTTGCCAATTGTACCCACAGCTGATCTGTTGGATAAGTCTGTGAAAGTCCCAGAAAAGAAAATTATTGCAGGGATGAATCCGATGAGATATAGGGGGAAACCAAGATTAGGGACTGTGGTTGAACTTTTACGGGTTACTGATTATGTTAGTAGTCGATTGTGTGATGTGAGTCTTCCATTTATTGTGTTACATGGAAGCGATGATGTTGTTACTGATCCAGAAGTGAGCAGAGAATTGTATGAATTGGCGAAGAGCGAGGACAAGAGTTTGAAGATATGCGACGGAATGTTGCATTCTTTGTTGTTTGGTGAGACTGATGAGAATGTTGAAAGTGTTCGCGGTCATATATTGGCATGGTTGAATGAGAGATGCTGAGAGAATTGAATTGAATTTGTGATACATGATTGATTTGTGGTCTCAATCATTGTTGGTTGTTGTATTGCAGCAGTTCTGAGCAATCAAAGTTGGATTCTTTGCTCACAATTGTTGTAGATTGATACTGAAATCTAGTACAAGTTTCGAATTATCCAACACTAATGCTTGTTCTATACTGCAGTATTGCTATAGGTCATTCTTGTTTTTGATGTTATATTACAGTACTAATATGTCCGTGTGATGCACTGGATTTTACACTCCCTCTCCACTGCCACGCCGTCCCACCACACTCACATCCCATTCAAGCCACCTCCGCCTCTACATCACCCTGCATTGCGGAAAACTATCTGAATAACAGTATGGTTGTGAAGCTGCTACTTTTTTTTTTTTTTTCACTCTCACAATCTATAGATAGTTTTTGAATTAGAATTCCAATAATACAAACAAGGTTTGTGGTGGTAGTGCAAATTGTTATGGTAAAGATGATAAAATATCACCATTTTCACATTGAACATCACATTTTTCTTGAGAGTAATGTAAGAAAGAGAAAAAAAGGGACTGTTCTGCTGCAGCTGAGACTCAAGCCTCCGGCAGTTTTAAACCCGTATCTCATACCCCTAGCCGGTTGTCAACTGTCTAACACTTGATGCATTTTGCACAGTCCATGTACTGTGGTTGAGAGAAGGAAAAATAAATAAAGTGCCGTTAGGGATACTGTGACAACTTTAAGAGTGTTATGATTAGAGGCAAATAGGGTTTGTGTTGCTTTGGTTTACTATAGATTGTGTAGTGTAAGACACTCCAGTATGGTTTAATCAATTTTCACACTAGGTTTGGAAGAGGGATTCGTAGATGCATGTTTGGTGTGTCATTTTCTTGATGAATTTCAATTAATAATAATTAATAATAATTCTATTCTTCCTACAAAAAAAAGTGGGGCTTGGTATTCACAATATCTTGAGATAATTAGTTACATATCATTTGAATTACCACCTTGAAGTAGTAGTTCAATTATGTAACAGTGAACTATACTATCCTGATATTTCTTCACATGGCTGGCAAACTCAAAACTAAAGTTGATACAAAATTAATAGATCTTAGATCATAATTTGAATGGACCAATTAAAAATGTAAAATAAATAGATTTTTTTTTGATCAAAAAAAATAAATAGATTTATAGACTAGTTTAACTTGTTAAATAAATGAGTTGAGACGAAATTAGTTAAATATTATATGAACTCACTAAAACACAGTTTATACATAACATGAAGTCAATAGAAAAAAACCCTCAAATGTGAGTCCGACTCCTCCATCATAACACGAAGCAGATGTGTTGTTGATCAGAACAATATCCTTTTATGCCAAATCGACATTTGTTCTGTTTAAACGATGACGTTTTGATCAACAACATTAACAACACAAGACCCTCAAAATTTAAACAAATAATCTTTTTATCATCAAATTGAAATAATCAATATACATATATATGTAATAAAGGTCAACATATATATATATTAACCACATCAATTTTTTTTCGAATCCAATTTGTATATATTCATCTCTTTTTTCGATTTAAGATATTTAAATGGATTTGGATCAGATTCAAGATAAATAGATTAAAATATAAGTCCATATTCAATTATACGGATTCAAATTCGGACTGAAATTTGATACATTGGGAGGCTTATTTGCTAATGGAAAAATAAAAAGGACTATCACTTTGTACCCTAAAAGATGTTTTGATTCTTAATTTATATACTCAAACATTAAAAATCTCAATTTGTACTTTCAATGTTATAAATTAGTAGTAACGTGGACTTTTCCTAGACTACCGTTTAGTTTTTCGTCAAAAATTGAAGCACATGAGTCGTAAGTGTTTCGACTATGGACTTATGTATAAATTCATAAATTGTTTGTGTCTCAAGTGAGTTGCACATGATAGATTTAACTTCTATTTGATTAACGAAACTTTATTTTTGATACATAAAATGATGTCAAATTGATTGCAAACGAATATCTACAGTGATGAACACACCTCGTCCTCGTACCAAAACACTTATAACTCGTGTGTTTCAATTTATGATAGATAACTAAATGATAATCTAAGCGAAGTTCACATTGTTACCAATTCATAATATTGAGAGTACAAATTAAGATTTTTAATAATTGTGGATAAAAATTCAGAATTGAAATTTCTTTCGGAGTGCAAAGTAAGATTAACCTAAATAAAAAAGAAAAAAGTGATCGGGACAGCATTTGTAATTTACGTAGTTAATGGAGGGTATTTTCGGAAGTAGAAAACTTTAGAAAGAGAGAGATTATGAGCTACAATCGATCTCAGCCGCGGATGAGAATTTTCATTTTGGAATTTGATTTTCGATTCAAAAACAGAGAGAAATTGAAGCAAACAATAGAGTGATTTTATACATGTCATGGGTCAGAAGGCGGATCAGTGAACACTGATGTCATTGTTCTGGATAATCTCTCGTCAACTCGCAGAGATTGAAGCCATGGTGAAAATTTTTCATTCCTTGTTTCATACTAATATTTTACATAAATTGAACTGAATCTTGATGAAATTTACTGTTTATATGATGCGAAATTGAGTAATTGAGTGCCAAATTTAGTGTTTATATGAATCGTGATCATGGATCTAGTATTTTGGGGATATGAGTATTCGAATTGAAGGGTCTTGTGGAGGAAGGGTTTTTGGTTGCTATTAACAATTTTAACTTAAGAAACACTTGTAAAACCCGTTTATTTTGTCTTAATTTCTGCAGATAAGTCAGGGTTAAAGGAAGTAGAAAGTTTTGGTATAAGAGTAAAATGTTCTGTTGCAATTCTTTTTAGGGTTGTGGCAATTGGGTAAGGGACAGTTAGCTGATCTACGACTATTGAATGACTCAGTTGTGTTTGTTTTATTAGCTCCTAATAGACTCCATTTGGTTAGCAAGAAAGAATTTGTGAAACTAAAACTAGAAGTAATTTAAGTGAAAGAAAGGAAAATGAAGTTTCCTACATGCATTAGTTAGGGGGAATAATTTTGGACAAAAAGTTTAATTTCTTAAGTTAGAGAGCATGATACTTAAATTTATTTGTTAGCCCTGTTGTCTTTGACCATACTGACAAAATAACATGCCTAAGTAGGTGTATCGAGAGATTTTGGAAGTCCTGCAACCCTGTAAATGTTAAAGAAAATATGAAATTTAGGAGTGAGATTTGTGCATAGCTGCAATTTTTTCAGAGTGAAATCAATGGGGTGGGTGCATGATTTGCAGATCCATGAGAATTATGGATCTGTTACATTTGGCAGAAATGTTGAAAAGTGCCTTGCTTTTTGTAATTTGGCTACAAGATCACGATTGGCACATGTTATTGAAAACTGTATGTGAACAGACCCAATCAAATATTTAGTCATTATAGGGAGTGCAAAACATGCTCTACTTTTTCTTTTTTTCCCTGTTTTTCTTTTTCTCCTTGTGGAATACCAATGTGGTTATTTCTGAAAATTTCTTTCTTGACAGGCTACTTCAAAGAAGGTAATAACAAGGGAGGAGTGGGAGAAAAGACTTAATGATGTAAAGATTAGGAAAGAAGATATGAATAAATTGGTGATGAACTTTCTTGTCACAGAGGGTTATGTTGACGCAGCGGAGAAGTTCAGAATGGAATCGGGGACAGAACGTATCCTTCTTCATTTTCTAATCAGGGCATTTCATGTTCCTTTTAATGATTATGCCTTGCTGGCATGGTGTACTTTTATCTTCCAAGGTATGTTTGACCTTATAGATAAATAGCAGACATAGATCTTGCAACTATCACAGATCGTATGGCAGTTAAGAAGGCAGTCCAGTGTGGGAATGTTGAGGATGCAATCGAAAAAGTTAATGATTTGAACCCCGAGGTTAGATAATCTATCTTCTCATTAGAAATGCATGATATTTTTCGCTGCAGTGATTCAAAACTTGGTACAGGCACACATTAACAAATGTCGGATATCCTAGATCTCCTTACTCTTTCCTTAAACAATGACACATCCTTTTATACATGCAATGATCTTTTAGGTGTATTTTGAAAGCAGCACTGAACATTCTGAATAGAGTGAAATGCTTTAGTATTTTTGGATTATGATTTCAATGCGTTGAGTGATCATTAGCTTTAAAATCTCAGGATGTATGTGGTCAAAACACTCTTGAGAAAAAACTAAAACAGCTTTGGTGAATATTTATTTTCTGAACAATTCACAAAAAGCATTGGAATTACCATTTTTATACTTAAAAAAGTCACTTGTATAACTTAAGTTCTGCTATATTAGTGACCTAGGGGAGTTATTCTTAGCTAAATTTAGGGTATTACATAGGTGATTGGACCATTTCGAAATGTCACGTGTAATCCTGGAATTTCTAAGCAAGATATTTCTTATAAAAAAAGTTGCAAGCCCCAGATAAGGGCAAATAAGAAGAACATACATCCCCATCAAGCAATTGACAATAAACGAAAAATATCTGCAGTCCTGCATCAATAAATTAGAAATTGGAGAATCATTTAGTTTCATGTTGTTACTGAGACTTGTGACACGGTTGGCACCTGATTATGTTTATTCCGTCTGTTGGCAGCGTGGAATGCATAATACATGTTGCTGGGGAAAATTTTATCGTTTTTTGGTTGATCAAAATTCAAAAGTTTGATTTGATCTGACAATTTTTTTATGCAGATATTGGATACAAATCCCCAACTCTTTTTCCATCTCCAACAGCAAAAGTTGATAGAATTGATTAGGAATGGTAAGGTGGAAGAGGCTTTGGAGTTCGCCCAGGAGGAGCTTGCTCCAAGGGGAGAGGAAAATGTAATGCTCAGATCCTTATAACTTTTGATGCATAGTTACACTTAATTTCTTGCTAGTCAGTCCGGTCTTTTCTTCTTTGAAATCAATGAACTTCCTTTGTCAAACTGTTTTATTTGCATGCTTGGACTTTATGTATCATGGTTCAAGGTATCGGCCGAGTCCGATACGACTCGGCCCTCCGATACAATAACAGTACCCGTTACACAAAAATCACGAGTCTTACCTGAATCGGTCGTGACTCGGTTACAACTCGGACGAGTCATACTAGACTCGGACAGATATGATAAAATTCTTACAAAATTGAAAGACAAAATGCAAAAAAAAGATCAAAATAGAGAAGAAAGAGAGATATGAAATCAAGCAAAAAATGGGACTCAGATTTGCAAAAGGCATACCTTAAAATTGAAGGCATAACTGCCTTCTTCTTTTTCCATTCGCACAACAATCAACAAGTTTTGTTCTTCTCTTTCTTCTTCTTCTTCTTCTTCTTCGCAGCAAAGACCCAGCATCATTGATTACAATCATAGATCGCAAATTGCACAAACCCTAGGTTGCTTGACCAGCATCATCGATCGCAGTCGAAGTCTCAAACAGCCCCTGACTCCCCCTGTTCCTCTCTCTTCATCTCTGCTGGTCTCTCGTTTCTCTCATCTGAGAGTCTCGCCTCTCGCCTCTCTCCTCTCTCTTTCTCTCTCGGGACCTCGTCTGAGAGTCTATCAAACCCACAATGGCAAACCTAGTGACCTAGTTAAACTATTAAAGACTATTTGACTGTGGTTAATTTATTAACTTAAATATGGTTACTTTAATTTACTTAGTGTGAGTAATTTATTAAAGTGTGGTTAATTTAGTTTACTTAGAGTAGTTAATTTATTAACATAGTGTGGTTAATTTATTTTATTTGTGGGTAATTGGTTTTTGGGTTCACTTTTTGACCAAGTTTACTTAGATTAAATTTACTATTTAATAAATCATTAAAATATTTAATGTAATAGTTAGATATTCAAATTATTTTATTTTTTAAATAAATATTTGAAGTATTCTATTTTAAATCAAATGCTAACTTATTAACTTTATGGTTGAAATTATCCCAATTTGTATTATCTTAGAGACAATAATAATGATGATATTTTTTAAGTGCTGACATTAAGCAGTGATAATGATAATTATTTTCAGTAGCGTCCTTATATTTTATTTTAATTATTTTTAATGTGTTTTTGAATATATTTTAGACATATGATGTATGAATGATGATGTTTATATTTTTAGAATTTTTTATAATTTTTTAAATTTTTTTGGAACTTCTATCTAGCATTTTGAGCGTATCGGCCGATACCGCGACTTTGAACCATGTTATGTATGGCACCAAGCTTGAAGATTGGAACAGAATTGTCTTAATTACAAGCACTTTTGCATCTAAACTCAGCATATTTGCAAAATATAGGTGCTAATAATTGCTCTTTTGACGGATCTTAATTTCTGCAGCAAAGCTTTTTAGAAGAATTAGAAAGGACAGTTGCACTACTGGCTTTTGAAGATGTTGCCAACTGCCCTGTTGGAGGGCTTCTGGACATATCACAGCGCCTAAAGACAGCCAGTGAGGTGAATGCAGCCATTCTTACTAGCCAAAGTCATGAAAAAGGTCAGTAACTTTCTTATTGACAATTTTTTTCAAGTTACAACCACATACAAGTAGTATGATATGAAATTTCAAGGGCTGCTGACAAATTTCTTTATCGTTAACACACATGAAAATATATATAAGTCTTACTTTAAGTTTGGACGTTAATATTATGATGTAGATTGTAATAACTCTGATACCCATTGATGTAGATCGTACTAGCTTGATTCTTAACGTAGATTAAGGAGAAGATAATAGAGATGAGAATAGAAGAATAAAAGGAAATGAGAAGTGAAGAATAAAATAGAATTAAGGGGATGAGAAATAGAAGAGAGAAAGGAAGGGAACAAGGAGATCTAGGCAAATAGGCCTTAATATTCAACAAGTTAAGTCTAAATAAAACCCTTACATGCATTTCTTTATATAGGGAAATCAAAACCCTAAAAGAAATAAATAATAACAAATAAACCCTCAAAAGTTAAAAGAAAAGATAAATACTAAAAATATCCAAATAACTCTCATAATTAATATATAATATTTATCCAACTCCTACACGATCTCTGTCATATTACTTACCAAACTGTTAGTTTTCTTTTACTTCTGGTTTGAACTTAGTAAGATCAGTTTCTTGGTCTGCTATTGATAGACAAGACCAACAAATTTGGTCAGGTGATTAGGCTGAAATTGTGTTGTTGACTGTGATATGGTCTGCTTATAAAAAACTGCCAGTTACTCAATTTGAGCTGCCAGCAAATGTTTATTTTACCTAATCAGTAACAGTCCATCACCTAAAGTGGACAGCAAGGTACCTTCTTACTTCCAATTGAATTTTAGGGAGGCTGAGTGTGTGATCATTTTCTAGATTGTCTAATTTAAATAGCATCTGTCATATTAGAAATCGTCTTAGTTGCATTGATGTGCTTGCAAGCATTATTTGCCTGTATAAAGAATGCTCTTTTCTCTGCAGCATCTCCATTTTCAGCTGATTCATAACTCTTAATTTTGTATTGTATTGCATTTCTTGATAGTATCATCATAAACATCAGTGTAGCTATTTATTGCAATTTTTTGATTTTCAAGAGTTTGAAAGATTTACCCGACACTGAAAAACAGATCCAAAACTTCCGAGCTTATTAAAGATGCTTATATGGGCCCAAAGCCAACTTGATGAGAAAGCTGCTTATCCTCGCATAAGTGATTTATCTACTGCCATTCTTGAAGATCCTGCTGTCTGACAGGAGTGAAAGCTCCTGGTGTGTTATTCCATTGTATCCCTCTTGTAGTGGAAGCTTAACAGAATGAACCAAATATGAAGGAAAGCAAATATACTTCTATCGAAAAAGACTGCAGGCAGTTATTCGTGATTGTCGTTTTATTAGAATCTGTGTCGTGTTAGGGTGTTGCATTTACTCCTTTAGGCTGTTGTATACACATTTGTCTCCTCATAATTTGAAGTCAATATTTTCTGGAATTCGTTTGGCATACCATGTACCATGCCCGAATTGATTATAGTGTAACCACTTTAATCAGAAACACCCTAGTCATGATCGGCACACTATCATTTTGAGGGGTTGTCAAAATCTTGTTATTACTACTAATATTACTGTTGAAGTGTTTCCCATTTTATCGAGAAAAGATTCTGCTAGATTTGGAAAAAAATTCTTGATAAACTGGTTTGGGTGAAATATTTACACTTCTATCATGTTGCATCTAGGATGCAAAAAGCAAGTGGTGCAAGTGTTTCTTTTTCCTTTCCTTTTTTTTTTTTTCATGATTCTAGTATTTGAACCCTTTTATGGTGCTGGTGGTATTTGTATTGAGGATGCAAAAGGCAAATGGTGGAGTAGCTACTTAACAGTTCATCAGACTTGTTTTCCAATGATATTTACACTTCATAGGGTCAAATCATTTGGCAACAATAATAGTCTATTTCAGGTTTCTTCCTGCACCCCAAGCTATGAGACTTGAATTACAGTGGAGAAATATATGGTGGAAAGGGTCACCTGCCACACCATCCAAAATGGCCAAGGCTTTTTGGACCAGAGGTCATAAAGACATGTGATACCTCAGAGTAGCATACTTTGGGATGAACTGTGCATGTCATTCTTGTTTAGAGGTTGTGCTACTTTTCTTTGTATCGTTTCAGTTGTATCGGATGTCTTCAAAAAAACTAATAGGCTGAGTAGTCTTAAGATTTTTTTGAAAAAAGAAAAAGAAAAAATAATCATTCCAACAATGTTTTTTTTAGTCATGAGTGCAACCCTCATAAATTATGTGCATCGCTTAAATTTGAATTTTATTAGGCTATAGGGACGTAAACTCGGGATGTACAAATTTACACTTTGTCTTTTACCTATAAATAGTCATTGGACAAGTCGTGCATAATACTTTCTCTACATTGCTTTCATGCGAGAATGCATTCCATATCTTTCAAACATTTTTTATAATGCAAGTTTTGCGGAAGCCAATTCCAAGGAAAGTATTCATCAATAAATTGTTCTGAATGCAAAACTATCATTGGTTCGGCATAATTGGACCCATTGACTATGTAGAATCTTCTTGCCTGCTCGTGAAGTATTATAACTCAACATAGGACACAGAATAATCCATCAAAGTAATTATATAAAAACCACAACCCACCAAAGAAAATTCTAGCTATGTTCATCATAGAGCTTAGGTGCTATCACCCCCCACATTCCAATCCCTAGTCGATGCTAACAAGCAACTTTTTTATTGTACCATCCGCCTAGCCTATTCTAAATCTTTCATTCCTTATTCTATAACTACTTTGTACCATTACACACACTAAGCTACTGAACTTCTCAAAACACCCAAAAGTCACTACTTCAATGGGTTCCTTCTCCTCCCCACCACCCACAACACTGGAGCCGTCGCTTGAGAATTCAATGTCTCGCTATCGGGTGTACGCCTCGTTTTACTTTAGAGAGCCAGGGCATAACATAAACGTCTCGAATTGGATCGGGTGCTACGATCCTTCCAACAACACATGGAGTTATGTTAGTCCAATCTTTGGACTAATTGAGAACCATGTGCTAAAGGACTTCGCCATGACTTCAAATGGGGACTCAATTTATATAATCGGGGGACGATTATGTAACAAGAAAAGAGCTCTGTATTCTAATGACATTTCCGAGGTTGACGTTGAGGTACTTTCATCGGTTTTATGTTACAATGTTCATACAGATCAATGGTCCACATGTGCACCACTCAATGTACCACGGTATGATTTTGCATGTACAGTGTGTGACAATAGGATCTACGTGGCCGGGGGGCAGTCCACCTTGGCTAGCGCGAGGGGTACTTCGTCTGCTGAGATGTATGACCCATCGCGTGATAAGTGGACCCCATTGCCAAATATGAGCACTTCGAGGTACAAATGTGTAGGCGTGACATGACAAGGAAAAATCTACGTGCTCGATGAATTTGTTGAGAATAGAATAATGTCGGATAGAATTGTGCCTCATGTGGATCGTAGTTCTGCTGAGGTGTATGATGAACAAAGACGTAAGTGGGACCTCGTGTCAAGGATGTGACAACTAGATGTGCCACCTAATCAAATTGTTGCCGTGGATGACAAGTTATTTAGCTCTGGGTATTGCCTAAATGCATGGAAGGGTCACATTGAAACATATGATGGGAAGCTCAATATATGGTATATAGTTGAAGGGTCACAACAGAAGCTTCCATGCACATCATGCATCAATGGAGAAAATAGGTCGCGGGTGCAACGGCTTTACCTTACTATGGCGCCGATCGGAACTTGTCTTTTCTTCTTGGCGGGTTATCGAATGGCCGGAGAGTCATCGGGAATAGTGTCAGTGGTCCATATATTCAACATATTGGCAACAGGAGATGGATGGAGGAGTTTTGAACCCATGGAAGAGGAGGGGGAGAGAAAACTGTGTAGTCGTCATTGTTGTGTTGTTCAACTTTCTTAAGACTGTCTTTGGATCATATTTTGACTCCCACGTAATTGTCAAGCAGGATTCGATTTTTGGAGTTCTTATGTCTTTATTATTTAGACTCTTGTGGTGGTGTGATGATGGGCTACTCCAAAGAGGTCTGTAGTTACGACTAATCGCACATTTCATATCCGAGAGAGACTCTCATGATTATGTCCAGAGAGGGTCACTATCTATTGGTCACTCTCTCCCCTCTTTACTAATCAAAAAAAAAGAGAAAAAAAATACTTTCTTAAGTCCTTTTCTGTAGCAGCCCAACTTTCATGGTCTCTGCTTGATGTCATATAATCATGAAACTTATTTACCTGTCTTTTTTTTTTTTTTGCTCTTTTAACTCTTTATCTTTACTACTATTTTAGAAGTCAAAGATAGAGCGATGACAACTTAACATGTCAAGGGAAAGAATTTCAGTCCAAATTTGAATCTATTTAATTGGATATGAACTAATATTTTCATCCGTTTATCTATCTAATCTATTTAAATATCTTAAATTCGATTATTTGACAGACCTACTCACCATCCATTTAAGTCATTTGTTAGGGTTGTCCATAGGTTGGGTTGGGTCAGGTTCGGCCAGTGAAATTTTTTTCAAGCTGAATTTAGGTAGGGGAGGTCAAACTTACCCAAGTGAGTTATTGGTACGGGTTGGGCCGGAGTTTGGGTAGGAGTAGGCTACTCACAGTCCAACTTATCACTCGCTAGGTGAGGTCAATGGGCCTGTTGGGTGGGCTTATAAGCGGGCCTGCAAGGCAAACCTACTGGACGGACTTTCTTATATACTTTATTTAGAAATAATAAATATTTTTAAAACTTAATATTTTTATAAATTATATTTTTGAATTAAAAATAGAGTCAAAATGGACAAAAAATATATAATGAATAATTTTATTTATAAATAGGAGAGGAACTGGATCACAATAGAATGAACACATCTTAACTAAATTGACACTTACCCACCTATCTTTCTTTTTTAAATTTCAAATTTAATGTGTCTAACTTATTTTTAAAAGAAAGTGGACATGTTTTTCGAGTTGGGCAAGGCGGGCGAGTTCTTTGGCTGAGTTTTAACGGGCTGTTCAAGCTGGACAAGCTATTGGACTGGGTAATAGATTTAGGGATAAGCTCAAACCCTCTCTTGAAGGATACTAGGTTTTAGCTCAAACGTATCAACTATCGAGTTTCTAACCTTTTTTTTCAACTCAGAATAAAGGGAACCATGGGCAATTCGGCCCATAGACACCCCTATCGTACGTCATGGGTTTGATTTCACGTATTCACATTTTTAAAGTACAGTAAGATTGTCAATTACTTATCTCTCACAAATGATATTATAGATGAGAGAATTGTATGCATCGAATATCTACTTTGACCATATAAAGAAATTCTACTTATTATTGCAAAACATAAAGCTATGGGCTTAGTGCTTTTCTTCATCTTTATTTTTTACCATGTAAAAGATGATTGTTTGACCAAATTTAGAAAGGTCTAGCAATGCAAATCATGATTATGTTTTGTTTGGTTCTTTTCAAGCCCTTCATTAGACTCATAAATTATGTTACTTTCCAACAAGGCCCTACTTATGACTTCCAATTTGTTCTACTTACTAATGGGACCTATTTATGTCTTCCAAAATGGGATTCCCCCCCCCTCCTCTCTCTCTCTCTCTCTCTCTCTCTCTCTCTCTCTCTCTCTCTCTCTCTCTCTCTCTCTCTCTCTCCATTGATATACACAATAGGAGATTAGAGAGCCCCTAACCATGATTGTATCTAATTTGCCTAGCCTCAATTATTTCACGAGTCTAGCAATCACTAACTTGAGAGAAGGGCATAGAATCCCATTTGGGCCCAACTTTGTCTCCTCTAAAATGATAAGCAAGAAAAAGTGAAAAAAAAGGGTACAAAAAGTGGGGAAAGAGGAACTCTAAGTGTTGGGAAGGTCCTATCCATCATCCCCTTTTTCCCCTTATGTACCATCACATTCTTTTCTTTTTTTCCTTGTTATCATCCAACATTTTAAAATAAATTTGGATGCTTCAGTAAACACGGCTGCCCGATGAAACTCGGTTAATTAGTTTGAACGTCGTGCTGTCGTGTTGTGTGGTTATATTAGATTTTAAGGTCCAACTTCAAAGAGTTTGGATACTTTCAAACTAAATTGGGTTGGTATAATCCATGGAGTATATTAATACCCTGCGAAGAGGTGTCAATTTTTGCCTCGAACACAAACTCGACTTGAACCGAATCCGACACGAACCCCAAAATAACACGATTAATGAACACGAGTAGTAAATGGGTCAAATTAAGGTTCGACGCGAATAACACGATTAATTGGTACAGTAAATAAAAAATAATTATTTAATGAATATTGTAGATAGAAAATAATAATTTTATAATTTTTTAAATAGTATTATATTAATTGTTGTCAAGTTAAATGATTTTTTATTAACACGAATATTAATACGAACTCGACACGTACCGAAAGTGATATGACACGAAAATAACATAATCGAAAATCACACGACACAAAACTGATACGACACGACGCGATTGACACTCCTTGAGACCGCAAGAATAAAAAAAAACCAAGTTTTTTTTTTTCAACGGTTAGGGATGTTCGAATTAATTTACGTTTATCTCGATTAATCTCTTTCTCAATTTGACCAAATACAAGTCATTTATGCCGGAATTAAAAAATTCAGAAAAAATAAATCTTTTATAAACTAACTCCAAAAAATTATCAACATTCAAATTAAAACGTCGAAACTCGCTCATTCTTGATACCACTTAAATTACCAATTCGGCACTTTTCTTTTTAAGGAGTTGTGTTATAGTTTGGCTCTTGTTGATAAAAAAAAAAAAAAAAAATTACCAATTCGGGTTAAAGGGTCAAGTTCATTCTCAAGCTAGCAAGACTTCCGACTTTATTCAAACCCCTCAAAAGAAGAGAAAGAACCACCTGATCATCTCTCAGCTAAGAAAGCAACAACAATGACCCCCCCACGTGTCATTACCATGGTCTCAGTCACACACGAGCCACCCATCAGGTCCCCTCTGATCCACCACCTCCGGTCATAAAGATTGGGACTTGACTACGATGCAGCCAAAAAAATTTGGTATCATACCTCTAAAATTTATTATTTTAAATGATATTTTTATAATTTTTATGGATCATTTTATAATTAAAATATTTACCACTTTTGTGATTAATTTAACATTTTAATGGATATATTTTATCATTATTGTGGATATTTTTATTATATTTGTGATAACTATTTTTACCATGATTCTTAAATATAAAAAAAATTATTACTTTTGTGACTGATTTACTACATTTGTAGGTATTTTTACAACATTTGTAGATGCTTTTATTAATATTGTGATAAATACTTTTACCATTTTTTTGAGTATCACAACAGTGGTAAAATTATCCACAAATATGATAAAAGATATCACAAATGTGATAAATTTTTATATGATACTGAAAAGCTTGTGGAATGAACCGTAATCTACTTCGAAAGATTGACAAAGTTTAGTAAAACCCGCAAGTTCGACGTGAAATTGACAAATAATCACTTATATGTTTAGTTTTATTGAATTTGCAGACCGACTAATTTTTTTTGGATAATGTGAGAAACTTTTAATCTATTTTTGGTGAGTAGAAGTGTTTTTATGTTGTTCGGGTTCGTAAATCTGAAAAATCTTCACAAGATAAAGAATATCATTGGGCGAATCGATTAATTTGTTACACTTGTTAAATAAATAGATCAACATAAATTCTACTAAAAATTATACAAAATAAATAAATCCGATTTATACATAATTGACAAAATACAAACTCAACTATCCACAATTACCAACAAATCAAGTGAAAATTAAATTGATTTAAACATAATACAAATTGGACATGATTTATTCACCGACAACTGCAGCCAAAGGAGAGAAATATGGTAACTTTTCCATAACATACTGCTGATATTTTAGGTCAATCAGAAAGAGACATATGTAAACTTTTATTATTTTCAAGTAATTTCAAATAATTAAGGTAGAAAATTATTTTTTGATTTATTACATATTGATAATTGAACAAAGTTGTGCTTACTACTACTTTTCCCAAATTTTTTTACCAAATTACAAACATTTGTCTTATAATTGATTAAATTGTTCTATCCAAATCTTTGTAATTGGATAAATTAGGGATAAAAAGGTCTTTTAATCATTATGTCATGGGTTGGCTAATTTAAAACACACCCCTCCCCATGGGTTCGGATCTTAATTCTGCGTTTAAAAATCTTAATTAGCAAACATAAGATTAAAGGCGTGTTTGGATGAATTTTTGAGAAGGGATTTGGATTAACTTCTCTAAATTCTTCCAAACTCAAACCCCTCTTTACAAAGATGAGATTTAACATTTAATTCAGTTCATACTCATGATTGGTATACAACATATAAATATGTAAGATATACGGATATATCATAATTATTAATTATTAACAATTATTTGTCCTGTAAATAACTATTTTACTCTTAATCAATCTAATTTACATCCATGTTAAGGGGTAGAATTATCATTTGTATTCTTAACTTTTTAACTCATCTTTTCAAACACATCCCCTTCCTAGGTTTCGTCAAACACATGATCATGAATTTAATCTTTTGGCAAACTACGGGCCAGGTTTGAGAATTCATGATTGAATTTTTAATCCAAATATAGGATTTAGGGGTCCTTTAGACTATTTTTCTTAAACTCATCTTATCAATTCTCATCATACTTTTTTACCAAACAGTCCATAAGTGATCAATTTAACTATTTTACTTATTAATAAAAAAAAATACTATTTTACTTAAAACCACATTTACATACCCTCCCAATCCCATCAGCAAACAAATCATTCGTATCTAACATTTGACGGATAAGACAATGGCACTAAAAGTTATTTTTTTGATACTCTATCGGTATTAAATTTTGGAGTCAAATTA